AGAGAGAGTATGTGTGTGTGTGTGTGTGTGTGTGTGTGTTTTACTGGGAATCTAATCTAAGGCCTCCACATTAAGCTACATCCCCAACTCATTTTTTAATTTTTTATTTTGACACAGAGTCTAAGTTGTCCAGGCTGGGCTCAAACTTGCAATCCTCCTGCCCAGCTCCCCAGAGTCCTGATACCCACTTGTGTTGTTTTTACTGTTGAATTTGCCCTCTCCATTATTCATCAAAAATTACTTTTTAATAATAAAAACAACTCTGAAATCAACCAACCAGCAACTGTTTTCTGATATATATTATATTACCAATGAGGCATAGGGAGACCCCAGTACTGGCGCAAGTACAGGTGTACAGCTGCAGCTGACACATGCTGGGGAGTTTCTGTATGCCAGGGCTGCCTCTAAGGCCTCGGTATGAATTAACCCTTCTTCTCTAGAATATGATCTTTTCTATCTTAGGAGAAAACTGAGGCACAGAGCTGCTCAGTAACTTTCTTAAGTTCGAACTTTTAGAGAGCTATTGCTTTCAGGGCCATTTGCTTTCAAGTGCACAGAATGCTCCAGTTTAGCAGCAGAGGCAGTCGGCCTCCAGGAAGGCTCCAAGTGCCCCTGTCTCCCAGCATTCACACTTAGTGCAGCAACTTCCCACATTGCTTCACTTTCCTGCATACGCCCAAAGGTAACAGCAGAGGTGATGGTAGGTGCCATCCAAGAGGAGGTCATGAAATGACTAAGGCTTCCATGTTGGGATTCTCCCCTGCCCCAGTCCGAGAGCTCTCCCTCAGTTCTGCAATCATCACAGTGGAGAAGCCCTGGTGCCAAGGAGCCAGCAGCAGTTCAGGAACTGACGCCTGCTACTACCCCTGTCTCTGAGTCTGGAGCTGGATTCTCCAGTCCAGGGGTCTCCTGACCATCCCACCTGGTAGACTGGGTGAAACCTCAGGATAGACCCAGAGCACAAATGATCCAGATCCTAGAGCCCCACTCCTCCAGAACTGTGTAAACTGTTGCAAGATATTACCAAGGTTTAGGGTTATTTGTTACACAGCAACTAGTACAAACATTGGTCAATCTAGCAAAATTCTTATTGTGCCATAAAAATTGCATTTCTTAATAATTCCGCCTACACTACTGCATCCATCCTGCTCACTTTCTGCAAAGCTGGAATACAATGCCCAACTCTCAGAACTTAAAAGGAAGACAGGTTTACTGTGACTCATGTTTCAGAAGTCTCAGTCCTTGCAGGGTCGGTACTGTGGCATGGCAGAAGGGCCTGAGCAGAAGAAATCTGCTCACATCGAGGTGCCAGGAAGCAGAGAATGAAGAGAAGAACCAGGAAGGGAAATCCACCCTTCCAGGCCATGATCCTGGCCCCACCCCTTCAGATCAGACTCCACCTCCAATCAGCAAGACAGCATCTAGCCCAATAACCCAATTGCCTTCCAAAAGCCTATGCGTAAACAGGGTCCTTGGGGGACATCTCTACAAGCCATGGCAGTATCCTAAGATGGACATGTGGGTACGACAAACCAAAAGCTTTCAGCTCTCATCCATCCACTGTGGGATCTTAACTAAGATACCTTAATTTCAGGATCTCTGTCTTTCACCTGTAGAAAGAAGGATCTTGAAAAGACTGCCTCTGTGACGCCGACGACTTTCTCATACATAGTCTGTGTAGCATTTGAGATGTGTCTCAATGCTAGTCCCTCATGGTGAACAGTTTCCTGCATATTCTAACAAATACCCTGAGGTAGTGGTATGCTCCTTAACCTTGCTCCTAACTGGCGCTGCATCCATCATGCACAACAGCTCAGTGTTTTTCTATATATTAGACTCAAAACCAAATCTATAAACATAGCTGGAGGTTGGAAATCCTAATAGCCCCCACACCGTGTGCAGACACCTACAGGCACAAGTATGAATATGCACGTGGGCAGCTGCAGGCAGCAGAGCCATCTCATAGAGGAGCCCAACTCCAAGCACCATTCCCTCTCAGTGACTTGAAAAAAACCAGAATTATTTATGTTAGCGTTTATCACCCTGTCAAGAAACTACAAGACCATATTAAAATCCTGACACCAGGATAACACAGCAAAATAATTCTCAACTCATTAATTGACTCAGCTAGAATTACAAGCCCAAGTGAGCAAGCTGGGAGATAGTAACACTCTCCTGCCTTGTTCCTCAGCTGAAGTTTGGTCAGCCCAGGCTTTTTATCTGTTTATTTACAAGGTATACCCTGTCTGGGAGACCAGCAGAGGAGCCCTTTCCCTTACTGTGACACACACAGGACACCAGACTATCTGTGAGGGCCTTGGCCGAAGCTGGTGTGAGTGCTCTGTGGGCCACAGCGGCCCTGATCGGCTGCCTCAGTAGCACGAGGCTCTGCACGCCTCAGCCTGCTCTCCCACCCTTCTCCAGCGTAGCGTCTGAGGTCTTCCTAAGGCGCCTCTAGGAACTGCGTAGCTCTCAGTCTCTTTCTGTCTCATACAAGATTATGTTTCCTCATCCCTCGCACCTCAACCCATACCCAACGCCTGCCTGCTCTCCTTCACTCCAAATTATTGGGGAAGTGATGGCTTCCACAGGTCTGCATAAGCGTGTCACAGTGTCACTGGGGCTGACACACAGGCATCTCAACAGCAGATCTGGTGAAGCCCTGTTGGGAGGCGTGCTGACAGGGATGACCAATATGACAGGACGACAGGATGGGGGGGCTTTGTTGACTAAAGGCCTGGCACTCGCTCAGTTCATAAATGTCATTAAGAAATATAGAGGAGAGAGCAGAAGAGGAAAAGAAGAAAAAGAGTTCCTAAGCTTATCTTTTTCATTCACTCATGGTCTTTTTTAGTCCAAAACCATTTAAAATAGCAAAACATTTTAATATATCAGGGTTTTATATGGTAGTGTTGCTTTGCTTTTAACTCATTTATATTCCTAAAGGAAGGAAAAACAATTCAAGTATAACAGCCAAAATCATCTTGTCAGCTGAGTTCCGATGCCCACCTCACCCTACTCTGTTCCCAGAACTCCTATCCCACCCTCCTGCCCCAGCCCATCCCAATTTATCCAGGTGGCAGTTCACACTCCCAGCCCAGAGCCCAGGGCATCCACCCCTGATCTGGCTTACCTTCTCTCCCTGGGGTCCTGCCACACCAGGAGGGCCAGGTCTTCCCTGGAGGAAGGAAAGCAAAGCTGGGTTAAGGCAGGCACTGGGGTGAGGGGAGGAGGAAAAGACTGGGGCAGCTGCAGCTCTGAAGCAGAGCCTGGATTCTCCCAGAATCCCAGTCCCCTTAGACTAGACTTTCTGCCCTGTCCGTACTGGTTTTTCCCCAACTCAATTCAGCATCTCCGTGTTTCTCCGTGTGAAATTGCACTGGTGCTGCAATGTAGGCACTAAATTCTGAGAAGCCCATCCCAGAGAATCCAGTCAAGAGGCAGGGAAGCAATCACCCACGTGCACACCAGGGCGCACACAGGGTAGAGTCAGATGGGGATGGAGTCCTGTCCAAATTCTCAGGGATCCGAGGACCAGCTGGGTCTCCAGACTCAGAGAAAGACGGGGCTGCCAGGGCCTTGGCAGCACACACTCCTGCCACCAGGAGACTCGTCAAGAGTGGGCACAGAGGATGATAAAGATGTAGTCCTGCTTATCAGTGTCCTCAAGACCCTGAGCTTCTAAATCTGCAGAAGGGGAAGAGGGAGGCCAGGGGCCTCACCCAGGCTTCCTTGCAGCAGGCTCCGGGGGAACCCATAGGACCAAGCAGTGGTCACCCTGGGCAGAGGGCGCTTTGGAGAAACGCACCCTACTGCACAGACACCGCAGGGTGTGCACACCAGCACACGTGCCTCCTTCCACCCAGAGCACGAAGGCCCGACAGGAGACCTGGCCCACCGCAGGACCCTGGCTCAGCACTCCGTCGGCATCTTCAGTCGCTCCTCTGCTACCGGCGCACTGCAGCTCCCCGCCCCGACCTGGGCACGAGCCTTCTGTCTCTCCAGGTCAGCACCAAGTGACAACGGCCAGGTCTGGCCAAAGGCAGCACACCTAGGTTTTGGTTTTTAGCGTATCTATTTTTAAGCAACTGAGTAAATTATTGTCAGTTCAAGCTGCAGACCACTAAACTGCTATTCGAGTCATGCTCCTGGCAAATACAGAAGAAAATGGTTTCATGTTTACGATATGGTGTTGAGGGAGGGAGGAAGAGACAGAAAAACACAGGACTCCAATTTGCTAAGTGACAATGCATATAAATCTGGATATTATTTCTTGGTGATAGAAATAACTATAAATTCGATCTATATTACTACAGTGTGCTGAAACTGACACTTTTACTACAATTATAGATTAAATATAGTTACCTTGTGCACTTTATTTTATATTTATATTTACATTAACATATTGACTAACACGTTATATTAACTTGCACCCTTCAATATGACAAGCATTTTCCTAGGAGTCTTCAGTATGGCTTTAACTTTTATTTAATTTCTAATTTATTTATTTATTTGATACACAGACTCACTGTGCAGCTCAGATTCATAGTGATCCTCCTGTTTTCAGCCTCCCAGCACTGGGATTACAGGTGTGGTGCGCCACCACGCATGCTTTCAGTGGCCAGCTCTTCACAGGGCTGGCATGACATGCAGGACCAGGGACTGAACCCAGGTCCTTGCACTTGCCAGGCAGGTGCCTAGACAGTGGAGCTAAGGTACTGGGGATCAAACCTGGGTCCTTGCACTTGCCAGACAGGCACTTAAATTGCAGAGCTGTCTCCCCGGCTTCTTAATTTCTGTTTTTTAATCATTTAAGTTACGTTTAGGGTAGATGATGTGAATACATGATACAAATTCAAATGTATTGACACTGGCTTCACATCGTGTCAGGTAGCCACCTAGTATCCTCTTTTTGTCCCCTTGGAGCCTCCATCACTTGCCTTTTTGGCAAGAGGGACCATTTCATGGAAGACATTTTCATACAGAGGGCAGGGGCTATGGTTGGAGGGGTGGTTTGCGGAAGACTCAAAAGAGCACCCAATCTAGATCCCTCTCACTCGCAGCTCACAGCAGGTCTGTGCTCCTATGAGAACCCAACACAGATGCTGATCTGAGGGAGGCAGAGCTCAGGCAGTGAGTCCAGCGACAGGGAGCAGCTTTGCTCACTCCCCCTCCCCAGCTCACCTTCCTGACAGGTCACAAACTGGTGCCCATTTGTGCTCCAGTGCTCATCCCTGTCTACGGAAGTCACAGACACGTCTTCCCCATCGGCACACGGATGAACCTGCACAGCTCCATCTCACTCCCCACATCAGCATGCCTGAGTCGTCCGCTGAGTTCTCCCTGCAGAGCACTTGGCACTTTCGCTCTCTGGATGAGTGTGCAGTGACTACCCTGAATACACACCACTCCAGACACTTGCCCACCAACTGTGGTCTTTACACCAGTGACAGCACTTAAGGCAGTGAGGCGCCTTCCACCCAGGAGCTCCCACAGTCACTCTGGCACTGGCCAGCCACAAATCCCCTGTGGCCCTCACCTGAACAGGAAGAAAGTCCAGGGTCCAAGGATTTAAGGTCCCATGTCAGGGTCCACCCATTCCTGTCCTCTGACAACAGTAAACCCATCCACCCAAAACCCCACTTACCTGCTCTCCTATCTCCCCGGGCTTCCCAGGAAATCCATCCAGGCCTCGCTCCCCCTGAGAAGGAACAGGAATGTGAATAAATAATGGACACAGCCACTGTCACTGAAATGAAGTGAGCACTGCCTCGGAAATAAGGGCAAGCGGAAGCCCTGAGGCTCTGACAGCGCTCAGCTCCCTTCTGTGCGAGGCATCTCTGCACATGAGAGGGTCAAGTGCACACACCAGCCCTGGAGTTGACGCACATTCAAGGTCACGGGGTGGAGGACAGACCACAGCCCCCCCCCCCGGGCTTCCAAATCAGTAATCCAAGGATGGCCATGCAGGTCTTATAAACTGTATGTGTTCCTCATCGTGAGAGTCAAAGTAACAGGGAGAATGTGTACACGGGAAGAAGACTGCAGGGGCCAGGAGATGGCTCAGGGCAATAAGCACTTCCCTGGCAAGCGCAAGGACCTGAGTTCACTGCCTGGTTCCAGAAGACTGCGAACACGCTCCGTGTATCACACACTCATCTTATAAATAAGCATGAACCTTGCTTCATACAAACAAGGATAACCTGCTGCCCAAGGTCCTTGCGCCTACGGACCTACGGAGCTAACACATCCTCAACACCTGCCCACGGAGGACGGCAAGTGCCAGTGCTCTCCTCCTTCCTACCTACTCACTCCGCCAGGCAGTGCCCCCAGATGCCGGAGGCTCCACGCATGGGTCAGCTCTGGTCCAGTGTTCTCAGCTGGCATCGTCCTTCCAGGCGGCCCCCAAAACTCTGGTGATGGAGCCACGCGGATGCTCAGAAAGGCAGGCTCACTGACACCAGCACCTCCTTCCCAGCAGCTCGGGAGCCACAGTGTCCTCTTCCTCGCTTACTGTCCCCTCCACAGCTGCTCAGCTCCCTCTAGGGCTCAGCCTCAGTGTCCCTGCCTGACCTTTCCGTCCAGTTGGATGCCCTATTCTCCTCCAGCACACTCACATGTCCATCTCCCCTAATTCAATCTGCACGCATGGTCCCACTTTCTTTCCTATTCACTGGAGGACATGCAGTGTGGTTATTCTGTCCCCATCCTAGCCCCAGAACCAGCCCAGAGCTCTCCGCCTGGCTCCAGATGACACTTTACGACTTATGCAAAGCCAACACATGAAAACTGTTCTGAATTCTCCCTGTGTGTCCCTGGAACTGATTGTCCAAACTGCGATTTCTTTCCTTTCTTGGTTATAATGGGTACCCCTCTTTCCAACTGCTTTTGTCGTAGGAGCAAAGTATTATGACTTTCTGTTCCTTGCTGCTTGCTGTTTGGGGTCGCTGGCCTATGAGTGCTGGTGCTACTTCCTGCGGCCCACCTCCGTCACAACAGGACACAGGTGGGATGCAGCGGCACTTTCTCCTTTATGCGTCTGCTCCCCTTCTTCAGGCAAGCAAGCTTCCTGCAAAGGTAGGTCTCAGTCAGTCTCTGTCTGTCTGTCTGAAACTGTAGGCCAAAACCAGTGCCTCCTTGTCCAATGCAAGCAGGGGACAGGGCAGGAGCAGTATAACTTAGCTTCCCAAGTAGAGGCCCCAGTGGGTCTCAACCAACTTCCCACCCACCCCACGACCCCCACAAATGCACAGACTTGAACTTGGGGTGGGTGGTTTCCAGCACCTCTCTTAGCTCTGCCATTTATGGTTTCTTCTCCTCTGGATCCATGTAAATGGAATCATGTGTTTCTACCTTTCAAAAATTATTTCATATATCCAGGTAACACACGTTCATATTCCTACTTTCAGGGGCTAGTACGTTTGACTTCTTTTAAGTCTTTCCATCGCAGGGGACCTGGGGGAATCAAGGGTGGACTTGCCTGAATTAGCCTGCTCTTGCTGCTTCTCTGAGTGGCTGGCAGGCTTGCATACACATGTGGAAAATGAGGCCACCTGACCCCCATGAGCGCGCGATGCTGGCATGACAGCCGGGTCTCCTGACCCTTCACCCTCCCCGTTTCCACCCCTGCAGGCCTGAGCGGGACTGGGCAGCCCGCCAGACCCTCCCTTCGTCCCCAGGCTGGGGGAGCTGATCTTGGTCTTGCACCTGTGGGACCTCACGCTCCTTCTACACGTGGGACACTGAGAGCTACGCGCATGTGCACGTCTGCATGTCACCTGGGTCCTAGCACACCTCTGGGCTCAGAGAGAAGGGCGACTGAGAGGACCAGGAGCCACTTTACAACTTCCGCCTCAAAGCAGCGGGCTCTGCCTGCCGGGCCTTAGCCCCTCACACCTGCACATGTGGATAAGTGGACCTAGAGCCAAGAGCCCTCCCAGCTGCGACAAGGACAGCAGCAGGGGTTAGAGAGGGCCTGGGTGGGTAAGGGGAAGCAGTGAGGGCCACCAGTCAGCATCCGGACATCCTGGTGTGCTGACAATAGTTCTCCATGGAGGGGCCACAGCAGTGACGATCCTGGGAGGGGGAGGGGAGAGGGAGACGCAGGGAGAAGAGGGGGAGGGGACAGAGAGCCAGAAACCAGAAAATACTGCCGCAGCAGGGCATGGAGGAGGAAGGAGCCTCACCTCACTACGGACAGGACGCAGGAGGGTGAGAGCGCACACAATGACAGCTTCCTCGGCCTAGGCCTACTTCCTAGGCCTACTTCCGGTTTGTTCAGCCACAGCCCCAGGCTACCCCAAAGGTCCTGCCCACTTCAGGACTGGTCTCCTCTCCGTTTGCTGTGCCAGCTGCCAATCATCTCTGGACACACCCCCCAAGGATGCACTCAAACGTGATTGGTGGATTTGGGGGCATTGCTCAACCCAGTGAAGTTGCCACATAAAGCTACTCCTCATGCCGTATAAGGCTATTCCTCAATCCTCAAAAGGAAGCCCTGGTGTTCCTAAGCCGGGACAGGCTGAGTGAGAAGAGCCACAGCAGCCCCAGACCCTGAGCCACGGCAAGCCCGCCTGCTGCTGTTCCACATCGCTGACAGCAGAGGGCGCACCGGCCGGCCCACGGAGGAACACAGGAAGCCCTGCGATGCCCAGGCAAGACAGTTTGGAGACTCAATGATGGGCACAGCTCCCATGGCGGGGGGAGCGCAAATACTATGTTCCTATCCCTCTTCCTTACCTATAATAGAAACCTGCTGCCCAACCAGAGGAATATCTGGGGTCACTTCCCCAGAAGCCGCCCCAGCCCTCATTCACACCTTCCTTCCTGCCTGTCCCTTTTCCCTCTTGCTCCTCTTGATCCTCCCTACAGCTGTACGTCTTCCAGCGTGCAGCCCACTCTTCCCCTGATCCATGTTCCTCGTCTCTATCAGATGGAGCCCAACTCCCCGCCGGCCTGCAACTGTATACCTGTCTGTAGTCCATGTCTTCCTCGGGGCCACCACTGCAGTCAGCTGCTGCTGTCCCTGAGCACACAGTTGCCTGGCCTGCAGCTGGACGGACCCAGTGAGCCTCTTCACAAAAAGTGGCCTTCACTACTGACCTCTGCCTGCCACCTCAAAGACAGCACAGAGAGAAGAGGGCGACCCACGCTGCGGACACACAGATGGCAGTTCTCTCCATTCCAACCACGGCCTTTGACAGACTTCTAACCCCTGCAACCTACTGCCTAGGGACAAAGTGCTCTGTTTGCCTTCGCTTTGGTTTGGGGTCCTTTTCCTTTATTTTTTTCAGGCACATAGGAGAAATGCCTGGCTCAAGAGAAGACACAACCCAGGATGGGCCACACCATCACCTCCCAGCTAGAATGTCGCTGCCTCCTCAAGGCCCGCATCCCTTGTGTTGGAACCCAGGTATCTTCGCCTCTGCCTTCCCCAGACTGCCTGCAGCTGGCATGCTCTGCATTCCCCACTAGCTATTTTACTGAGCAGGACTGTCCTGGGATGTGGCTTGTGACCTCCACAGCCTGGCAGGCTCAGGCAGTGAACAGATACATGCTTGGTACCAACTGATGCCAGGTAGGCTTCAGTGGGGTGGTCCAGAAGCCCACTGTGACTTCTACCAGTTATGATCCCACCCTCATCCAGAAAAGATGTACATGTGCCCTTACTTTATGGTCCAAGAAAGAGCCCAGCCTTCTTGGGAGGGTAGAAGTCAGTGTCTGAAGATCTGAGGGTCCAAAGGCTGCCTTCACCCTGCTGGGACCCTCCAAGCCAATTCTCAGCCCCCAAGGCTCTGTCTGGTCCTTTAGGTGAGCGATAGGAGACATCCTGGGGGGTGTGCAGGACACTGGTGCCTGAGATCTCAAGCTGCTCGGTGGCTACTCCATCAAGGGAGGTCAGATGATCAGGGAATGGGTCTTTCTGTACCCCCACCCAGCAGACAGCTTACAGTCAGAGGCTTCAAGGCCTGTCTGGGATCTTGGGGCTCACAGAAGCACCCCCATAACACATATATCCTTTGACCACAACCAGTGCTCTTCCTGGTTCACTGTGTCCCTCTCTCTGAGCTTTCCAGTTCAGGATGCCCGGAGAGTGAACACTCTCAGTCACCCAGGATTGTCATGAGAAATGGTTTTCCAGACAGATCTGGGGCTCAGAATGTCCAAGCTGTGATCCCTTTCGTGAGTGGACCCTGCTCTCTGTGCCTTTCGAGAGGTGCCCTGCAGCTTGCCAGTCATCTTGAGCCCAGCAGCCCTTGGGCTTCAGTGACCCTGGACCACCAGGACCTTCTCACACTGCAGAGCCTGGGTCGCCTTGCTGTCTGCAGAGATGCCTTCTGAAAGCCCCAGAGGAAGAGCTGTCTCCTGTATAACAGAGAACATCTTGCACCAGGCTGTCAAGGTGACCTCAGTGAAGGATGGGCGACTTCTCTCACCTACGATAGGGCTAGGACATTGTGAGGTCAGCCTGGTGAGGCCAGGTGGATGGCTGGGTCTATCTCAATGGAGATGGAAACTTCCACCTTGCTATATGTAAGGGAAGAGGGAGGTTCCTGAGATAAGTAACAATGTCAACCACCTGTTAAACACAAGAACTGGAAAAGGGACAAAGTATACAGAGAACGGCCTCCTTGAAGGACGCATGAGCAATGGAGGTGCAGAGCACAGATCCACTTGTCCCCAGATCACACAGTATGTAAGGAAGGGAGGCAGAAGCCCCATGCAGAGCCCAGCTAGGGACTTCCTGTCTCATACCCGCAGCCTTCTCTGGCTGCTTTTCCTCTTGCCTATGGTGACATAATGCCCAGCACCATCCTCAGCTTTCTAATCGAATCCACACTGAAGCAGTGTGCAGTCAATAATGCACACACAGATGGCAGCTCTGAGCATCTCAATACACTTAGTCTCTGCATTTAAAAAATTAAGGATGCAGAAGTTCAATCACTTTGCAAAAGTTACACTGCAGAGCCCAGCCCTGGGTCCACACAGAAGAGTCATAGTAACTATGCAGGAAGATAGCAGTGCCACCTGACAAGGGTAGGGGAACTCGGGCTGGAGTTTCTCCCCTGGACATCACCTGGATACAGCTCTCCACTTCTTCCACTTCCCTCAAAAGCTGGCCTCTGTGGAAGGAAGCGCTGTGGGCCAACTCAGAGGGACAGGCCGCAGGGGAGAGTGTACTCATGTGTGCTTTTGCCCTGGTGTGCCGCAGTGGAACAGCCCAGCTTGGGAGTTTCTGACATTACTGTCCTTCCAATAGGCCATGTTGCATTGGGAAATACACTGTCTCAGCTTCCCCATCAGCACAGAAAGGAGAGAATTCCAGAACAGTCAGATCTGGGATCTGCACAGGAGTGCAGCACGCTTGATTAGTTTTAATACCAACCCCCGAAGCTTGCTGGAGATGCAGCCCAGCAGCACATGGAAAAGGCTGCTGATTCAAAGTGGGTTTCCTGTAGAAATAAAGCACTGGCCACATGCAGTTGGGTGGGTTCTCCTGAAACACAGCTGGAACCGAAATGGACAGTCATGCCTCTGTCAGCCACATTGCTTCTCTTACGTCACCCAACCATCTGACAAACTTCAGGGAAACAAATAACGTAGAGGAGGAAACAGGTTCCAGCATCTCAAGTGGCTGTCCCTGCTCATGACGGCAAGACTGCCTGACACATGGCCCAGGCAGCCCTCAGTTTATTGGTCTTCAAGTCTCTGAGAAACCAAATCTCAGCACTGCTCAGAAGCTCAGCTGAGACTGTCACATCAAGGAACATTCTTCACGTGGTGGTTTGCTCCTGAGTGCTTTCTCTGGAGGACAACACACAGCTGCTTCTTGGATGGGACCTCTACTCTTTTGGCCTCCTCTTGGCTTGAGCTCAAAGATGCATCACCAGGACTCATGCTACAAGATTCCGTGTGACTGTGACACTGCCTGCGACCTTTGTTCCATGTGCTAATACAGACACTGAAGACCCAGAACTCAGGAAGGTGAGTGTGTGTCATCTTCCTGGTATGACAAATACAGTGCAAGTGACCAGGTTCTAGGGCTTCAAGAGGCACAGAAATGGGGGCTCTGGAACAGGCCAGAGGTTTAGGAAGTTTGTGAGGGAGTGATGCTAGAGCCAAGAATAAAAGAAGCCCATGCAAATGTTTGAGACAGGCAGGCTGGCTCCTTGGGGCGTGGGTAGGCTACTGAAGGAATGAATGCATGAATAAATTGATTTAACTGCTGCACCTTTCTAACCAGACTGTAGGCTACACAGGTCATGGTCATGGATGTACATTTTGCATATTTTATGGCACATTTAAATTAATATGCATTTAAAACATAGTTTGCAATGGTTAGGGGCTGTCTTCAATTTTTTTTCTTAAGGTAGAAGACCACGTAGGGGTGTCTCGATCAGCCCCAGCACCACATGTAAATGAGATGGCAGTCCCAGCACCTAGTGTAGACCAGCTGGCAGGTGCAGGGAGGCTCCTCCGGGCCCCAGTGCAGGAGTGCAGGAAGAACCAAGATTCAACAAGCAGAGGGATCATGCCCTTTCTCACTGCTCATCAGTTCTGAGTGACATGAGGACACACACTGGCTTATTCACCAACGGAACATTGCGCCATCTTGGTAAGTAAGTCCTACTAACTATATAGCAGCCAGGAGAAAGCACTGGACACAGAGCAGCACGCAGCACACAGAAGTGAATGCCCAGTGTGTGACTCTCTAAAAAGAAACTGGGCCTGCTGGGAGGAATCCTGCAGAATGGGCCGAAGTGTTGGCTGTAGTTGTATAAAGATGGCGAAGTCAGTGCATATCTCATTACATTCCAAATAGACTGAAATAAAACCAAACTACTTACTAATGAAACATTCCTATGACACTAGAGAAATGCATGCAGTGGGAGGAGAGGGCAAAGTGAACCCTGAGCAGGGGTCAGGTGGCAGGGGTCAGGTGTGGCTGAGGCAGAAGTGCAGCTCCAGAGCACTTGAGTGGCTCATGGCTCAGGGAACCGACCGATGTGGGCTGGGGAGAGTGCTAAGCATTCAGTGCCAACTTACAGCAGGAGAAGGAGGGGGAGGGTAGGAATGGCCGTCCTTGGTCCTCACCCTGCTGAAGTTGGAACAGCCCACGGCATTAACACAGGATGAATCTGGGCTGAGAATTCTTTCACCACCACCTGACGGCATGTTGTGAGCCCTGCTTGGTCTTGCTGGCCATGGGGGCAGTGCACACTGAAGACCCCAAGTGCGACACCTGAGATGCCAGGCTCCTGAGTGCCAGATGCCAGGCTCCTGAGTGCCAGATGCCAGGCTCCTGAGTGTCAGCAGCATCGCCACGGGCACCACGACTCTTCCTTTGCAGTGAGGCCCAAAGTAAGGTGGAGCAGGGATGTGATGTAACTTATGAGTAAAATGTGATCCAGGACATCTACTAGGACCTTCAGCGCCCGCGTCCAGGGCTCTCTGGCCCTGCTATAACCTCGCCTTGACCTCGCACCTCAAAGGTGGTGAGGTCCACGCATACCAAGGACCCCATCTTGTGGCAAGGCATATGCTTTGGGTGGGAATTAACACGCTGTCTATATCACACGGCCCCATAGGCATGTGCACACACGTACCCCCCACACACACGCACAGAGTGGACAGTCCCTCGTGTCTTGTCCCTCTTTGTCATGGAAAGTAGCATTGATTGGTTCATGCAAACCATAAATACCTTTTCTCCTCGAGTCCCCCTTTCACCTCGTTCTCCTTGGAGCCCCTGGAGGAAGAAAGAACAGTGACTCACCATGGCCCAATGTAGCTGCTCTGCTTTTACAGTCGCCTCTCTAATTTCCGAGGGTCTGGGAGGGAACCTGCTGGGCCGCTTCCAGCCCAGGGCACCAGGAGAGCAGTGGGGAAGACCTGTTTTACTGTGAGGCTCTTCCTGTGGGAGGTGAGCTCTGGGCTGATCCCTGGCCTAGGTGGGCCAGGTCCTCATGGCCACAATCTGAAGCCAGCTGGCCAAGGGGCTTTTGAGGTCAGATTAGTCTCCACTGCACCTGGAGCCTGCAAAGCCCATCAGGACGTGGATTCTACAAAGGGAGCCCAACACTGAGCTGGAGACTCTGGGTCCCGCTAGCACGAATCCTGCACCTTCCCTGGGGACACCTCTGCCGCCTGCTCACCCTCCTCAGCAGCACCCAGACTCTACACAGTATGCTCTCTCCTCCTCCTCTCCTTTCTTGCAGAAGGGACCACTGAACACTTCCCAGAAAGCATGCTACCCAGGGCAAATCTGCCCAGACCCATTTCCTGATCCAGGAATAAGTCACACATCTCCAACCTGCAGAAAAGCACAGGGCCAAAGCCACAAGACGCTGTCCTGAAGGACAGAGGATCTGCAGGACCACCCAGGCCCACGGGGCTAAGTGCACGCTGTTGCCACTTTAACCCCATCTGAATAGTCTGTCCTTCCACACAGATCACAGTTGTTCTCTTTCTCAGATTTTACTATTTATTAATAATGTTTATCATATAGCATGATTCATTTCTCATGGGAAGTTAGTACCCACACCTAACACAGCACAATTCTTTGTGTGTGTGTGTGTGTGTGTGTGTGTGTGGCCAGCTCAGCCCACCCTGACGGTGGCATACGGTGCCAGGGATGGAAACACAGTCCCTGTGCACTTGCCCACACTTCCCTAGGCAAGGACTTTAGACCGCTGAGCTATCTCACCAGCCCCACACAGCACAATTCCTTAGGATTCCCCTTCCTCTTTGCCTTGTCTCCCTCCTTCTTGGTCCTCCTTCCATTTATAAAAAACCTATCTCCCTCAGTGCTATTATCTGTCTTTTATTTTGCCTTTATACTCTGTGTCTCTCCTAGAAGAGAAACCATGCAGCATCTAAGCCTGAGTATCTGATTTGCCTCAGTGAACATTATGGTGTCAACGTGCATCATTTTCCTACCAATGACTCAAGCTTTTCTTCATGGCAAAATACTACTCCATCGTGTGTAAATACCACATTTTCTCTAGACATTCATCTATAGATGGGCACATATACCTCTTCATATATAGATTCAGATATCTGTCTTATTCTTGATTCTCATTACAAAGTGTTTGCGATTATCTCCAGATGAAAGATGGAATTTAAAGTCATTTTCGGACAGAACAGCTTGCATTGCCTTATGCACTCTCAAGAACTCTGATCTGCTTGCCATGCAGAAGGTTTTTAATTCTATATGATTATATTTGTTGATTCTTGACATTATTCCTTGTGCTATTTGTGTTCTACTGATACCTTTTTTTTTAACCTGGGACCAAACTGAGGTCCCTGGGTTTGCCAGGCAGATGCTTATGAGCTACATCCCAGGCCCCTGGTGTTCTGGTGAGAAAGTCCTTGCCTGCACCTATGTGTGCAAGATTTTTATTTTATTATTAATTGTGCTGCTATAAACATAGGTGCACATATATTGCTGTAATATGATGTCTTTAGTTTTGGTGAAAGATACCTAGAGAGGTAAAAATCTGCTTACTGCTGCCATGAACTATTTCTCCCCACTGTACCCCTTTGCCACCCCCTGCCAGACCAGCTGATGATGGACTGAAACCTTTACAAACTGTGTGTCAGAATAAGTCTCTTATCTTTTAACTTATGGGTATCAGGCATTTCGTCCAAGTAACAAAAAGCAAGAGACGGTCCCACTGCCCATTGTGGAGATGTAGGTAGGGGTCGGGGTAGAGAGCTGGGCTCTGACTCCTGGAGTCATTATTTATTAGTAATGTTTTCAGTACTTTACTTACTGGTGCTCCAACATGCCCAGGGGGCCCTGGAAGTCCAGGCGGTCCTTGGGGACCCTGCAGAAGAGTATTCACAAAGGAAAGATTAGGGATGGAAAGGGAGAACCACAGCCACTCAGTCTGTGATGTTCAGCAGAAGCAGGCAGGCCTGCCGGGCTATCTGCATAGGTCTCCCCAGTGGGCGTGCTGCCTGCCTGCATAGGACTCCTCAGCCTTCTTGCCCCCACGACGGCATGCTTTGTGCTGCCTTTTGGAGATGTGATCACACTGCAATCTGCTGAAGCTCCAGGAACTGCTGAGAGCCACTCCAAGCCCACAGGCAGTAATTCCAGTTCCCATGTGTTCCATATCCCTGGGCCTGGACATGCTCATATCTTCGGAAAGGCTGAGACTGGTCATGGTGGGTCAGCACTTACACATCACCACAGTGTCAGTCTTACATGAATAAGGCCTGACGATGAGCCTAGTGGAAGTCTGAAGGGCCCAAGGCTCCTCTGCCACCCAGCCCATGAACTACTATGTAAATACCTATAAAAATCTCCTAAAATAAAAATGTTCACCTCCTCAGCCAGGGCTAGCACAAATTTTGTAATCTATTATACTGCTATAAAAAGATACTGTTTAAAGAGAAACACTCAAAAAAATAAAAAAATAAAAAAGAGAAACACTCATGCATATACACACATGCATGCTTCAGTGATTTTAATAGAAAACCTGAGAAATTTGAAAGAAATTTCAAGGCTGTAAGTAGAGGAAAGGTTACACAAATTACAATGGCATTGATATCGTGAATACTAGACCGCATTCTATGGAGTAGGTGAGGTCTGTCTATTGGTCTGGAAGGGTGTCTCTCAAATCTCTTGATAGATACAAAAGATAAATTGCCAAGTGTATGATCTGTTTCTTGTAAAATTTAAAGAGAAATTCTATGTAGAGATATTCATATACACACATATATGCAACTGTGTGGGAACAAATGGCAAGAAAAAGTGTGAACATCCTACCTATACCTAAAACAATGGGTTTGGCACCAGACCCATCCCTTGGCAACATTAGGAGAGGGGTGTAGCTCATAGATACTTACCCGCATGCCCACCTCTCCAGGCAGCCCCGGCTCCCCCAGCTCTCCTGGCTCTCCCTGCACACACAAACCAACACATGGTCATAGCCAGCAGGACACAGGTCCAGGCACTCCAGAGCAGCCCAAAGCTTCCTGAGGACCATCGCCCACAGCTCAGAATTCATCACAGAAAGAAAATAACCATGGGGGCAAGGGGCTTGTGCTCCCCTTGGAAGATTTTCTCTAAACAAAGGAGTTGATGTTCAGAGCACAAAGCCTTAGTGCTCCTCCTGCTCATTCCTAGCACCAGAGAGCAATGAAATTAGACCCGGACAGAGGACAGATGAACGGGAGTCCCAGTGATGGTCACTGCCATGGAGAATGTCTGTGGCCACGTGAAGGGAGCCAGAAGAGGGTCAGGAGCTCATTAGTCCCCTTTCTCTCTTGGTTTCCAAGACCTCATAAAACCTCTCTTGATCTGCTCACAGTTATGGGCTTATGTGTGCATGTGACTCAGTTTCCACTCTGAGACTTGATCACGCTTGGATGAAGAGTGGCAAGGGAACAGAGGTAGAGAACCCAAGCCCATCTCTGTTCAGGTTCTTGGTGGAAAAATATCCTTTTGCCTAGAAGCAGACTGAGCTACTCTCTGAGATCACCTCTGCTGGGTTCCTAGAGCGTGTTCCTTCCCAGAAGCAGCAGGGTGAGTATGAGTTGGAAGAGGAAGGTAGCTGGACACACGGGCTAAGGGACACTGCTTGGGTCCCTGAGGACTCAGTTATGTACTGGGGACCTGGGTGATCCCTTCCCTCCCTGAAGCTGGTTCCACCTGAATAGTCCAGTAAACCTGTGGCACGCTACTTGTCAACTAAGGGGGGAAGCAGCTTCCAAGGATGACAGCTAATGCCTGGGTGCTCTCAGTGGCTTCTGGCTTTGGTGTGACTACCGAGCTGAGCTGCAGATACCTGGGAACATCTGGTCCAAATGAGCCCCAGCTCAGGCCTGGCATGGATGGCACCCACTCCAGAACACAGGGTTTGGGCCTAGTGCTTCCTTATAGGCTGAGGCAGTGGGGCCAGAGCTTACCCTCATGCCTTTACTGCCATCTCTGCCAGGAGGACCAGGAAGGCCTGGGGACCCCTAGGGGAGAGAAAAAGAACAGCAGTTGGTAGAGGACACAAACAGTGCGCAAACAGCCTCTTGGGATGTGGCTACCATGGAGAAAGTACCAGGCAGACAAGGAGGTTGTGGCCTAACACTGCAATTCAAAGAGTGACCACTGGGGCCTGCGACACAGCTCAGAGGTCTAAAGCACCTACTTAGGTGAGCTTAGGCAAGTGCAGGGACCATGGTTCAATCCCAGACATCACATGATGCACCAGCCCTGCCCCAGGACAGTACAACAAAGAGAGAGAGAGAGAGAGAGAGAGAGAGAGAGAGAGAGAGAGAGAGAGAGAGA